ACTTCGTACATCCCACCATGTTTATCTAAAAAACATCCTTTCTAGGAATTGGCGTTTGTGCCGGGATGGTGGCAGCGTTGAGCTTATTGTAAGCATGAGCGATACGACACTTGCTGTTCGGCTTCCGAACACAAAACGTGGGTGTCGAATAGAGAGACTCACTCTCGCGCAACATCCCTGCGTCGTGCTTCACACGGAAAAAGGCGTCAATGAAGTCGCACTGCTTCTTGGGCAGGGGCCATTGGCCTTTTACGCATTATTTGGTTCCGGAACCAGGTCAATCTCATGACGCACACCTCGGTCCGGAGGTAGGACCAAAGGTTGCCAAAGGTTAGTATGGATCCAAGGGATTCCGTGGGATTGACGATCCACTCTGTGCGTTCAGCACTCTCTTGGTGTCTTCCAGGACAGCTTCATCCAGAAGCGATGACGAGTTTATCTCCTCGTCCGGTCGTACAATTACCACTTTGGCCAAAGCGCCTATCTTCAAGGCACTGTCGAACTCTTCAATGGACATCTCGTCCATCTCAAGAAGGGTATCTACTGCAGGCATAGCCTAAAGGCGGACGTCGCCATCTTCCTCCCCCGTCATACCGTTGACGAGGGTGTATCACTTTGTACGTCCACTACGGTCGACACACCCTGGATCAGGGTCGACGCCCGGCGTCTTGCAGCCTGCATACGGCGTCGCCGTGCATCTGTACAGAGGTTCTATGTCTCGGTGATACCAGGGTGAGCAAGCACTCCGCGTCTATCACCCTCACTTTCTGCTCCTTTAAAGCTCCGATGTTATCTGCAACATCCGACGAAGAACTGCTAACCCCGCAGTTATCGTCCGGTGGATACCGTACCACTCCACGCTCATCTAAAGGGCCGTTTTGAAGATGCCTCGGCCCTTCGCCAACCATGTCACGCATGACATGCAGCGACAGCTTTGATTCTCGAGTAACGCTCAGTGGTTTACGTGCCACTTCACGTGCATCACGAGGGCCTCGCCCTCGATGCCT